AGTAAGACGCCATCATCTTAGGAGAATGGTGTTTCTGAGTTTGTCCCAGGCGCTGTCACTTACCCCACGCAGTGTAGCCGTCTAGGAGAAAGGAACTGGCTTGGGGAGGGTGTAGCGTCCCCTACAGAGAGGTTTTGGATGTGTCGTCCAAGAGGGTTTGGAACAATTCCAAGACAGACATTCAGCGCTGTCACAGGTCGGGGCTCGAGCCACCCTACTGTGCACAGACAGAAGTCTCTGCTCGCTTGGCGGAGTTTTCTTGTCACTGCATTTTGTGAACCTTGGTGGTTGGGCAGTGGTCAGAATCAGGCCTCAGCAAGATCGGTGGTCTGAGTGGACCCCAGAACAAAGATGTTGGGGCATGCTGGGGGCAGATGAGACACCCTCTGACATCACCAGGAGTATTTGGAGATGAGGAAAGGTTGGTGTCCTGCTTGAGCAGATGGGGGACACCACGCAGAGTGTCCTGGCATTGGGGGTGTTTGTGGATATCCAGTTTCTTACCTGAGCACAGGGGAGCATGTCAGGTGACCAGTCCAAGGAGGCCAGCGTGGATGGATGAGACCGGTTCCCTTGGTCTTCGCTTGAGATGCTCCGGTGCAGGTCGTGTCGTTGACATTCATAAAGATGAAGTTGTATCTTCTCCAGCTGATCCATCTGTGAAACTGTTTAATCTTTAAAACGTAGTGGGGACGCAAAACAGCTGGAGTATTAGAATATTTTCCCCCTTTACTGGGAATTGAATTTAAAAGACAGCTTTCTGATGGAAAGAAACATGGAGACCCGTGAAAGATCTTTCTTAGTATTTAATTTCAAATGTTCTCTATGAATCACTCACAATGTCTCGGGTTTTTTTTGAAATTGGGACATATGTCAGGTGAATTATTATATATTTGAAAAAGCAAATGAAAGATGGGGAAGGGTTGTGGCGAGCTATTGAAATGGCTTAGAGAAAATCTGCAAGGCTTGCCGATCTCCGAGCCAGAGCCCCAGGGTGCTTTCAGCTACTTGTTGACTTGCTTCTGTTCAGTAATTTTCTGGTCTTGATTATAAATGCCAGGCTTTTCCCCTGAACCTCCTGAGTTATTCCAAAACTTCTTTGCTAATTAACGTCAGACTCTGTGTTAACAGGAACAGAGCGAGGTGTGTTTCTTTTATCTAAAAAAATGACAGATTGCAATTATAAAGCAGTTTCAGACTTCTGTTTTACCGGTTTATAGAACAAGTTTTAATAATTTAAGAGCTTAGTTCTATATATGTATGTGTATATATACAAATGTACATATATATTAATATGTTGGGATCAATTAATGTTTTCTGAAATCCACTTAAAAGTATCTAGTTGAATGTAAATGTTGAAGATAAAACAAAAAACTGCATACAGCAAAAATGAGAAGAGCAACTTGAGAAGATAGGATTGCCTGACCTATAGGAATTTAATAAGATTACACCAAATTTATCTAAAAAATAACTCCGGGATGAACTCAGGAATGACTCAATGAGTAAAGATAAAAAAGAACAGTAACCAACCTTTTGAAAATCATCTTGTAAAATGCATCTACTTTAAGTATAAATACATTTTTTAAAAAGGCAAAACAACAGTGTTTCCTCTTTATCAGACAGGAAATAAGAATCAGGTGGATGACAATGTATTTGGTGCATTAAAATGTCTACTTGTAAGACAGATGTTAGCAATGAGAGGTGTTAGGGACATTAGGGACACAGGGTGATAAGAGAAACGAGGAAAAATCTAAGTGGACAGAATGAGAAAAATCTGAGATCGCTGCTGGGATTTCACGCTTGCCCTCCAGCTTTGAAATTGGATCCTGGAAGAGCTCAGTGTACTGGGACTCAGCTCAGCCACTGATGGGTCAGTGGTTTACCCGTTAACACATTTCGCAGGTGTCCATCACGCAGCGCCCTCAGATTCGGTCCATCGTAGATACGTGTAGAGAATCAGAAGCACTTTTGACTGAGCGTCCTCGTGAGGCTGAAACCTGCTGGCTCACAGGACCGATCTTTCCTCCGCGTTCTACTCTGGGTATAGGCAGTTGTTTTAATTATCCTGTGTTTTATTTCCTACGTGAAAACATTCGATAGCGTGAGTCAAGCTACTTTGATTAATACGCTCATGGTGCCCAAGTAAACGACGGGGGTTTCCAGGGTGAGAGGCGGCCCTCCCAGCCTTGGTGATGCTGTGATGACGTCAGTAAGAACTGCGTTCACTGAGCTCACGCCCTGGGCCTGGTGTCGTGGTGGGACGAACCAGGTCCTCAGGAAACCTGGGGACGGAAGGGTTAGCGGGACTTGCCCGACATCATGTGGCCAGTGACGGTGGGGAGCCAGGCTTTGCTCCCGGGCTGCGTGGATCCAAAGTCCATGCCCCCGGTCCCTCCATCCACCGGTGCCTCATTTCTGTAGCCACCCATGCGGTGGCCTGTAGGCACGCAAAACGGCTATTTTCTCTCTGTGTGTGTGTCTTTTGTGGATTATGGGTTAGATTACTTAAGGAAAAAAAAACAAACTTCCCATCACAAGAGAAATATACTCTGCATGTGGCCCACAGCCAGCCAGTAATAAGCATACACTCCCTGTTTTCCCCCTTCCTTTCAGTCTCTGTCTTTTGCCGGTCAGTTTAGAGAAGGGATCACGTCTGATGTTGACTCCACTCCCCTAGTTTGTGGGCACCTTCGGTCCATAACCACTGCACTGCTGCAGTCTTTGTGGCTGGACCCTGACTCTTTGGAGAAGCAGTCCTGCCTGTTTGGTTTGTTTGTTTTAGCTGAAATATAGTTGACTAACAATGTTGTGCCAGTTCCTGGTGCACAGCGTGGTGATTCAGGCAGACACATATATGTGTATTTCTTTTCATATTCTCTATCCTTACAGGGTATTATAAGCTATTGAATACACGTCCTTGTGCTGCACCGCAGATCCCTGTTGCTTGCCTGTTTTGTATACAGCAGCGTGTCTCTGCAAGTCCCAGACTCCTAATTTGTTGCTCCATCCCACCCCCTTTCCCCTTTGGTAACTGTAAGTTTCTTTTCTGTGTCTGTGAGTCTGTTTCTGATTTGAAAAAAATGTGACAATGAATATATGTATGTTCATGTTTAATTGAAAAATTGTGCTCTACACTGGAATTTGACACATTGTAAAATGACTATAACTCAATAAAATGATAAAAAAAGAACTTCACATGGAACAGTGTGTACTAAATATATAAATGTAGGAATGCATTTTGCCATTATGAATAATAAATTCTGTTTTCAACCTGAAAACAAAAAAGTTTATTTGTATCTTTTTTTTAGATTCCACATGTAAGTGATTCCCTGTGTGGCTCACTTCACTGACTCTGGTCCCCTCCAGGTCCACCCAAGCTGCCACAGATGGCGTTACTTCATTCTTTTCGGTCCTACCTGTTTAACTGCAGGGGCACAGCAGGTGCTAGATACGTCTTCCTGACACCCCCGTTTTCTTGGATCCCGGCTCGTGGGGACCTTGCTCCCGGGCTGTCCCCGCGGGGCCAGCGCTCTGTTTCCTGGTGGTGGCTCTCACAGACTGGTGGCGAGCGAGCCCCCAGCCTCAGTGCTGACAGAAGCAGTTCCTGGAGGGGACAGTCCTTATTTGTTTCTCACTATTTGTCTGAAGGGTCCCTCCTCATTTGCTGCCACCATCATGACCCTCGTCTGCCCGACCACGTCCCAGGCCTCCCAGGTGCTCAGGGCTGCTGTTTGCCGGTGGTGGCTGCTCCCTGGTCCTCACTCACTGTCTGGGATGCTCTCATCAGGTTCTGTCTCCTTATGACGTCGCCTCCGCGTACGCGCCTCTCGGGCTGCTTTCGTGCGTCCACTTCAAAGGTGTATCTTTTCAAGCCCCCTTGTCCTCAGGCTTCCTTCGTGTTTGATTCTTCCCCCTCCTCTTAGCCACACCCCACTCTCCCTCCTCACTGGCCGCCGCCCTCCTGACAGGCAGGGCTAACTTACCCGCAGGCTTCCGGGAAAACCAATGAAATAACAAAAGGCAAGTCATTGAAGTTTTCTTTCTTATATTAAAACAAAAATGTGTGCAAGCACATTTTTAAACCTGAGCCCCAGGAAGTTAGCAAATAGGACAAAACTGAGCACAGCGTACAGAACTTGACCGGTGAGCAAGCTTCCGGAACTTCTGAAAGGCAGGATTCAGGGCTTCACATGTCAGTTTTGATTTCTAGTCCAGAAGTGAATTAGCATTTCTATAGCCTGCTTTCACATTTCCTATGTGATTAAACGTTATCTGGCATCATATACATGTATACATGTATTTATAACCATGCGTGACAATTCAGGATAAATTATGTGACTTTAAAATTGTCAGAAGTTATTGCTGTCTGTGTCCTAGTGTCTCTAAAAGGATGATTTGGGGAGGCTGGAAGGTAAGCTGCAGGGGGTAGATTTTAGGGAAGAAAGACTATTTATTTCACAGTGATGAAATAAATCTAGCCACATGACACTTTGGTGTTTAGGAATGGGAGGGGAGTTTGAGGACGGTGAACGTGATGGCCACAGGGCTTTGCAGACAGCACTGTGAAACAAACGGAGAGAAACACACTTTCTGTGCCTCGAGTCACCAGCTGTATTCTGCCAGGAACGCAGCACGGTTGACAGGCAGTTGCATGTGGATGGGGCTTGGATGCCAGGGCAGATCTGCGGCCACTCTGCAGGGCCGCGTCACCGAACGTCACTTTGGGAAATACTGACCAGGTGCCAGGTGCTCCGGGCATTCTAGGTGCCGCTGTGGACCTAGACATGCGGTGGGGTGATGGTGGGGAGCGTGGGCGTGGGAGTCGAATTCAGGCTTCAGGTTCTCTGTCATTTCCTTAAGCTCTGTGATCGTGAACAACTGGCTTTGCCTCTCTGAGCCTTGTGTTGAAAATCTCTTCTTTGGACGGTCTCTTCTCCCTCACGCCCCGGGAGCCTACCTGCCCCTGCGCCCGCCTCTGGCTGCCTGGAGCCCTGGCTGGCAGGGGCTCCTTCCTTGAGCACAGCGCCTTCGCTCCAGCACCGGCAGGTGGGCAAGTGCCCCCCACCGTCCTCGTCACCACTCTGAGAGCATTCGCCGATCCTTCTCCCGAAAATCCCTCTGGCTTGAATTTGTTGCCAGACGACCAGAACGACCATCGCCCTGCTCAGCGCACTGTCCAGATCGCCTTCCTCCGTTCCTTGAAGTTGCTGCTCCGGACTCACCCTCTCAGGACACCGCCCGCATGCGTTAAAACCGGTGATTTCAGCGGCTGCAGCGATGACCCTTTCAGTGCTCCAGCTCCAGCTTCTGGGTCCATCTCGTTTACTGTCTGGCCCCATCTGCTCACTTATGTAGTCACACTCTAGCCTCTGCTGCCTGTTACAGCACCCACCCCACCAACCACCTCTGACTATTACAATTTAAAAAAATAGGAATTCAGTCCCTCAGTTGCACTGGCCACGTTTCAGATGGTTCATAGGCACAGGTGGCTCGTGGGCTGCTGTCCTCGACAGCTCAGAACATCTCCATCATGGCAGAAAGTTGTACCAGAAGGGATCTCCTGGACTCCTTGAGTACCTGAAACTGAAGGCCCTCCTTCATCCTGGCTGTGTGCCTCCCACTGTCTGACAGTTAACCTTCCACCTTTCCAGCTCGATCTTCAACACCTCGTGGACAACGGCTTAACAATTCTTAATCCCCGAATCCCTTGCTTCTTAATCCCTACCATGCTCTTACTAGTCTCCAACCAGCTTGAATGTTAGGACCAAATTTCATAATCCCTGTCTTGCCTCCCCACTCCACTCCCTGGCCCTCCCTCATTTCTTTATATTCTCTTGGCTAAAATCCAGTCTTGGCTCAGTCAGACTACCCGCCCAGTTGTCTGCACGCTGGGAGCTGAAGCCTATTCCAGCACGCAGCCTGACCCACTACGCACCCATGACCTCTCATTTCAAGGTGGAAGTAGACCTGGTTTTGAGATTCGATATCTGTTCATTGATCTTCTAGTTCACTTATACCTTCTTCTGCACTTTTCAAATTGCTGTTAAGCTCAGTCAATAAAATTTCACTTAAATATTGTACTTTTCTATTTTTAAATTTCCATTTGGTTCGGAGTAGGTGTGCTGTTTCTCCGCGGTGCTGTCTCACCTGCTCCTCCCTCACGCCCACGTTTCCCCCAGGCCCGCGGTTTATATGTGATCGCTCCTTTAAAGCCGTCATCGTCCAATCTCAACATCCAAGCCGTCGTGGAGCCTGTTTGAATTGTATCCCTTTCTCCCCTCAAGTGCACTGAGTCTTCTGGGTTGTTTGCACGCGGAGTAGTTGTAACTCTGTGCTAGATGCGGCGAATGGGATGTTGCAGGCAATCTACATTATCTCCTAGACTCGCTACGTTATAGGTTGTTGACTTTTGTTCTGGGTGGCAGTAGAGTCCCTTGCAACCTTTTTGAACCTGACGGACTTGCTTTGTTTGTGCTGGTTCTGTTCTCTGTTGTTTTTAACCCCATTTACCTTCTCAATTTCGGTGAGGCTGCCGTGTCGTTTTGGGGCTTAGCTCCAATGAAGGAAACCAAGGAAACCCCGTCTTAAGAACTGCGATACTTTGCAGCTCTCTACCCAATGCCTGATGTAGATTTGTACGGTTTGTGTTAATTTTTCTCCAGTGTTAAAATAGTTTAGAACAGGGGGCCAAGTCTAGTATCAGTAACTCTGTCACGGATGAAAGCAGAATTCTGTCCCACCTTGTTTTCCATTTTATAGTGCCTTATTTTGAAAAACAAAACAAAACAAAACACACACACACATACAGACGTGAACATGAAATGTAGTGTACAACTTGCTGTTTAATAAAAAGAAACCACCAATGAAACTTCTACATGGGTCAAGAAATAGAACATTTCACTGCTGCAGAAATGTGTCCCCAAAGCTGACATTCACAGTGTAAACCCCACTCCTCCTCCCTGAACGTAACCGCTCTCTGATGGTAATGCCATCGCTCCGTTTGCTTTCTTTACATTTCCACTGCCTCCGTGGACGTGGCTGAAGGCTGAGGTCCAGGTTGCCTGTTGGTGCATTGTATAAAGGGAATAATCCACGTGGTAAGTGAACATGCTTCTATGACTGGCTTCCTTAGTTTTAAGGAGATTTATCCAAGTCCCTGGATGTAACTGTTCTACATTCACGTTTATCCGCTTCTCTCTTTACCTCACTCCAGCCAGTCTTTTCCACACCATTTCACCTAAACTGTTCTTAGGTCACCTCTGACCTTCATCAAGGTTGGACCACTTCTTAATTTAAAGCACTAGACCCTCGACACCCCTTCCCTTAGTTGCATTGCAGCAACTAAGAGAATACATGTACAGGTCACTACATTTTGTGGGAACCATGGAATAAATATGTGTATGTACACATATGAAGGTAGTGTATGTATTTATATAGATATTCTGGGACATGTAGGAGCTTCCATTGAACCACTTAATATTCAGGTCAAAGAAACTAAATAAAGGTTTAGTTGTCTTTAAAGTGGATTCTGGGGAAAAAAGGATGTTAAAAGTATCCGTCTCTCCTCTACAGAAGTTAACCAGAAAGGCAATCTCTGGTCATCCGCTCAGCAAAATTTCACTTTAGACATGAAAGGATGAAAGACTTCAGGGATGTGGGTATTTTTAAACATGTTCACAATTCTGGAATTTCTTATATCTTTTATTGTCGTAGGAAATTGATCATCTGGGAGAGTCGTTAAATGAAATAAAATTCTTTTCTTTTATTGCTAGGAAAGATCTACTTCTTTAATTTCCTCGAACGTTAAACTATCTTTGAAGTCTTATATACTAAAACATATTTTTTGAATTATCCAAAAGGGCCCTGTTCTTACTCTCGCTTTAGCTATTAGTCCGGAAATTGCCACCATTCTGGGATCCCTGTGACATTTCTGTATTACAGCCAAACCCACGAGCCAATTTACTTATTAGTGGCAAGTGCGTGAAGAGACCATAAAGTGAGAGACTTTTACAGGAGGCTTGGGATCGGTGCTCAGAATTACCACTTAGACGCAGGAGCTACGTTCTAAATCTCAAAGCTACTCTCATCTCTGAATGTTAGGTAAAATGACCACTTTTTCTTGAATCACCTAGGTAAATTTTCTTTTCTAAAAAGTACACTGACTATGTTAACTATCCTGGTGACTGTTTTAAAAACCCTTAATTTTGTTAGGTGAATCAAGAGGAAACCTTCCCTACTTCGGGCAGTTTGGCCCTGTGCAGTTATAGACTGCAGAGTGTGTATCAAATTTTTTAAAAAGTCACTAGGATTTCCTCTCCTCTGACCCATTAATTAAGATGAGTATGTTTTCCAAGGCTGACAAACGCTGTGAACGTGAAGGGAGGCTGACTCCACATGGGGTACCTGTGGTGGCTCCGCTTGTGCTGTGTGAGGTGCGCTGTGGGACCATGTGCTCCCAGCCCGTGTCAGCATTCAGTGCCTTCTGGACAGTATAATGCTCTAGTTCTGTTAATGTATCAGGGTGTGCTTTGCAGTCATTGGGCAGACAGAAAATGTGGAGTGAGATGGTGTGTTTCCATTGCCCACTTCACATGCCTCTATTTTTATCAGCTCAAATCAACTTGAAGGCATGACAACCCAGCATCCATCTCAGGGGGGACATAGGAACTACTGATCGATGCAGCCAGTGCATAGGAAGGCAGACTTGAACAACTTGCCAGTCTAAGAGCACTGCTGAAAAGACAGGTGCTTCCTTAAGAATGAGCTGATAAGGGGGGCGGGTATAGCTCGGTGGTAGCGCATGTGCTTAGCATGCATGAGGTCCTGGGTTCAGTCTCCAGTGCTTCCATTAAAATCAATACATAAACCTAATTACCTATCCCCGCCACCAAAAAAAGACAAAAAAA